ACAGCCATATCCTAACTGGGATCGCTCCGCTCTGGTTTTTATACGAAACATTTTACTTTCTACAATAGATACAAGTTTTTTCAATCCATTCTTACATTCCTTCAAGATATGCTTGCGTATGAGTGAAGCGGATAGTTTTGTAGGCATTGTAACGAGGGTGGGTTAGAGTAGAGATTTTCCTCTCATCGTTACCTTTCAGTCCTCCTTTTTAATCTAGTACATTATAACTCATCTGTTGCTACGACTTTTTTGTTTCAGGTTACACGGGCCGCCTTGAGTACTGTGTAATTCAATTGGAAAATTGCGTCTTCGTCCTGGACACAGTAAATAAGTCGTCATTTTCTTTCACTTTCTGAGAGTAGTCCGATTTCAGGCACACATCATCTCTCTATTTCTCTATCCATCTGTCTGTTTGTCGGTTAGATGTTATGCTCTCACAGAGAGACCAGTTAATAGTCTTAGAAAAAAATAATGTACCAATTGGGGAATGAGTAATTTAAGATCTATGCCATCTTAGCTTGAAGCAGAGCCAATTGATATTCACGCTTTTACTGAAAGATTTTACACTCACCGTTGTTGACTGCTTCAGGTTAATAGGCTAATAATTGCTGAAGCGATCTAGTTCTTTATTCGTGCACACATGCGTTTCGAATGTATCTCGACTCTACACAACTTTAGTCACGTAAATAATAGTCCTAGCATGGATGGCCAACTGGTCAGGTATCATGAGCACACTGAGCTGATTTAACGTGCAGCCCGAAGACTTAGCTTCGAGGCCACTTTCGATCGTGTATGCTGCTTTTGGCATAAGCAACTCAACGAGAGGGCAGAAAATGACAGCAATAGAGTCTGCTTCAGTATCAGCACAACCGGTTGCGTTCCGCTCTTGTTAATACTGGACTACATTTAGCGCACGTGATGCTGAAGACAGCTGGCCCGGTTGAATAAAGGCGTACAGAAGACGACGATTGCTGAACGAATCCATTCAGACGTCTCCGTATGCACGATTGGACAGCGCGCGTTAACCGGCCGCCTCGATGCTTGAGCTCGTCTACCGACTTGGTGTAAAATTCAAGAGGTTCTCGAGTTTTTTTCTTTCAATCCACCAGTTTTGCTCTGCAACTGAAAGCACTCGGAAGGGCTGAGCCGAGTCGGGCCGCGTAGAGCCGCGACTCGCCTTTTCAGCCTTGCCCATGAGGCTAAGTCTAGCTCAAGTCAGCGTATCGATCGGCGATCCTGCCGCCTGTCTCACTTGTCCGTTATTGGTCAAGTTGGTGTATCTCTCACACATACACTCACGCACACTCGTGTATACAGTCAAATGCGCCGCCACAATTTGGCCGTCGTGATGAGTTCGAATCACCAGTCCAACTCTGTCCCATGCACAAGCCTACTCGTCATTTATCTCTCCCTATTTTTGAGAATAGATGTGACCTGGATTTCGAACGTCCCAGATCAATCCAAGCATGACTCAGACCTCCAATTCTGTGACGGCCTGTAAAAAGGCTTTGTCTCGGCCCATTCTCGTCGTCTTCGTCGTTGGCGCGACCGGGCCCTATGCTTTACAAGCATTTCATTTCAGCCTTTCGCGCCTTCATCCCAAAGTTGGCCTTCATAATTACAATATCGTCTACTTGATGCACTCGGCTGGTGACTCCCATGTTGAGGCTGGCATGTGAACGCAGAGCGACAGGATAATGGCGGCTAATCCTGATAAATCTACTAATCTGGTCGGGCTTATCGCGTTGTCCGTGGTCATTTAGGCATTATCTTGGTGGCTCAGCTATCAGCTTTACTTGCAAAGGAATCCATACCATAAATCGACTTAATTGTGCATGGCCAGCTCTACTTTTGGCATAGGAATGCTAGAAGTTAACTCTGCCGAAGCAAAACTTCCTTGCAAAAAATATAAGCTTAAAAAACCCTAGGCATTCGGGAGAAATATGTTCATAAAAGGATACAAAGAACTGTTATTTTCAATTGTTCGTGGGTAAACCTCGTTCTAAGCGAGGTGTAGCTGAGAATAAGTTAGAAGTTGGGATAAAGACGGGATGGAATAGGAGGCTATCTGATTGATTGAGGTACCAAAAGAGAAGAAAAGCGATGCATAACGATGCAACAGCAAATTGGTTAAGGGATGGGCTTCACTTGCTTCATTGAAGAGCCGTGGCTCGGCGCGAACAACTGCAAGGTACACCAACGAAGTCACCGCGATGCTGGCGAAACGTCTGTGAATGTAGCAAGTTTGCTATTCGACGCTGGTAAGCGTCATGACTACAGGGCTCTGTACATGATTTGGTCTTCAAGGCCGCCTTGAAAACACGGTTTTCTAAGATAGGATTCTTATTTTGGTGAGATAAAGATTTCTAGCTTACATGTCAAGTAATGAGGAATTTTTTCAGGGTATGCCTGTTGGTAAA